ATGAGTTCTATAATTCAAACTATCCAGGGAACACCAGGTTGTCTATCCCTGACCATGGCTGAGAATGTTGGGAGTTGGTCAACCCATCTGGAGGGATTCCTGGACTGGGTAAGGCAGCCATACTATATTTTGAGAAGTTCTGATTATTCACTGAACTCTGGACAAAATGAAGTGTTCTATGAAAGTTCCTATTTATTTATTTATTTATTTATTTATTTATTTATTTATTTATTTATATTTTATTACTTGCTTCATTTATTTATTTTTAAATTTACACCCCTCATTTCTGCTTATATGTTATTTGTAAAAATAAGCTTTTTGAAAATGTAGCATTTTTTTTTTTAAATACAGGATTTCTTAGAGTCTAGTCTTGATTTAGAAGCACTTGAATCAGAAAGTAAAATAAACATTTGTTTGGCTATTTTTAAACACTTGCATGCATTATATATATTTCTCCCAAGAGAATGTCCATGTTGCAAAAAATATGGTGAAGCAGGGTTTAGATTGTCACTTCATGCTTGATGAACCTAGAATGGGGGTTACATATCTTGCATGAAATGTTATAAGGTTCATGGGCAGCTTTAGTTTAAGACATTACGTAATTTTTTTCTGAATGAAAGGCTTTTACTTTCAGTATGGAAAAAGAAATGTGGACATACTGTCAGAAGTGAATAATTGCTGTAAGGGCAGACATCTAAACAGAGTAGAAAGTATACATGCAAATTCAGCTTAATCTTATGCAAATCATTAAACTGAAGGGCTTTGCTAGACAAACGGTTATCAAGTATGTCTTCGAGGAGCCAAAGATTGGCCTTCAGGCACTGTGAATCCAACTACACGGTTTCTGTAAGATCCCCTCTCTATGTAATAAAAACATCTAGGCTGAACAGGGAGAAAGATTGGCTTTAAGTAGAAATTGCAGAAGGATTTGTATGTGCAACCATTGGGAGCTGTCCAAATTGTTTGACTTCTGCTGCCTTGCTAGCAGTCTTTGTTAAGTGACCAGACCAATTTCTGTGTTAATAGGTAAGCCTTTCTATTGTAGCTTTCCTGGCCCTCTGCTGAGGAGACAATGTCCTTATCGAAAAGCTGAAAAGATAGCTGAGAAATCACAGCCACATATGTGAAATACAGGTAAGTTCATGCAATTTCAATGGATTTTTCCTGCTGTTTTTTTCACTTCTTTTCTACCTGCATACACGCATTTAAAGAAATGGAAACAAAATTTTTAAGAAGTGGTAAGATTTTGGCACTACATTTAAAAGTAAGAAAAATAAAATTGGAAATCTCAAATCTACTTTCCCATAAAAAACACACACATACAACTAAACAAGAAGAAAAGCTTTGCATTGTTTTTCTGTTAGGGATTGAATAGATAACTATGCTGATGACACTATTCTGATAGCTGAAAATACAAATGATCTACAAGCTCTAATAATGAAAGTCAAGGAGCACAATTAAAAAATGGAACTAAGATTAAATATAAAGAAGACCAAAGTAATGACAGGTACAGCAACCAGCCTTAGAACTGACAATGAAGATACTGAACTGGTGGATAGCTTCTGCCTTTTAAGATCAACTATAAACAATAACTGATTCAACATAATAAACTGATTCAGTTCCAGCTGTTCGTTGCTAGGTTTGTTATCTCCAAACACTTCGTTGCTAGGCTTGTTATCCTCAAATACTGAAAAACTAAATAAATCTTTTATTGTACTGGGAGTATTTAAAAGTCAGAAATAATTTGGACCAAGAAAATTAATTTGTTTGGAAAAACCCTACCGTGATGGGTATATTTACTAAATACAGCAGTTAAAGAATATGGTGCAGACTAGCACTTAGTAGAGTAGCAGTGAAGGCCTTAGAAAAGATATGCAGATGCTGGGCTATGTCTATACTTACAAAGATCAGAATTGTGCAAACAATGGTTTTCCCTGTGGTACTCTATGGAAGTGCAAGCTGGAGTTTCAAGAAGCAGAATAGAAAGAGGATTGAAGCATTTGGACACTGGGGTTGGAGAAGTCATGTGAGAATACCATGGATAGCTAAGGAAACAAACAAATAGATAATAGAACAAATGAGGTACAAATGACCAGGCCTAAATTATAACATTTTGGACCCATTATGTGAAGACCTATCTCCCTTGAAAAGTCCATAATCT